AGCCGCAAGCAAATGTTCTTGTGCAATGTCCCTAGCCAGTTGCATTGTTGATTGAAGATCCTTTAAATACTCCGACACTGGAACTGGATCTGTTGCCGGACTTTCCTCCCAATATTCCTTTATCAGGTCTAATGGACCATGAGCTTTCCTTCCATATAGCAATTCAAATGGACTGTAGCCAGTACTGTCATGAGGGACGGTCCTGTAGGCGAATAACAGTTGTTGCAATTTGACGTCCCAGTCGTATGGCTTCTCTTGACTGTAAGACTTTATCATTTTGACTAAAGTCTTGTTCATATTTTCAACTAGTCCATTTGTCTGTGGATGATAAGCTGTTGAAGTCAGGTGTCTGATACCACATAACTCAAGCAATTTCGACATAAGTCTGGAAGTGAATTGGGTTCCCAAATCTGAAACCAATTCTCTAGGATAACCAGTTCTTCCCCAAATGGATAACAGTGCATTTGCAATCGTTGTTGTCTCGATGTTAGTTAGAGCTACAGCCTCTGGATATCTTGTGGCGTAGTCAATCATGGTTAAAATGTATCGGTAACCACGTCTGCTTGGTTTACAAAGAGGACCCACTATGTCAATGCCCACTCTGTAAAATGGTTCTCCAATTATTGGCATAGGGATCATAGGAGCTTTAATTTTATCCCTTCCAGTACTCAATCTTTGGCAGATGTCACAAGACTGGCAAAACTCTTTGATCTTCTGGAACACGCCAGGCCAATAAAAGTTCTTAGTGATTCTCTTTGTGGTTTTCCTCACACCCAAATGTCCACCTTGAGGGTTTTCGTGTGCCACCCTCATCAGCTGTTCTCTAAAACTTTGAGGCACTACAATTTGACTACTTGTCACTGATTCTTCTGTTGACTCCACATTCCTGGTTTTTCTATATAAAACACCATTCTTTAACACAAACTCGGAGGGCTGTTCTTTTGCCAATATTGTGGGGTTTTGAGCCAAAGCGAATAGAGGTTTAAGAGATTCATCGGCTCCTTGTTCCTGCCGAATTTCTTCAATTCCTCCCGTCTTCTTAACAAGCTCAGCAACCGTAGCGCTGGATTCCGGACTCTCCTCCCCATCCTGTTGTATGGCAAAACACATGGCTTTTTGATCATGGCTTTCGTTGTTATATTCTTCCTCTTCACACGTCATCCTCCAGCTTTCAATCTTCTTAGCCAAATCATTTCCAATTAAACATCTGTATGGTATGTCAGGACTGACTGCAAAATCCCACATACCCTTCCATCCTCCATATTCTATTGGCAAAGTCACTACTGCTGTTGGTATCGCAGGTCCTAAACCTTTTAATCTTATTTCAGAGGTAGGCCGCTGAAATTCCTGAGGTATTATTTCTGGATGCACTATACATACTTCAGAGCCTGTATCTCGAAGTCCTTTCATGTCTTTGTTGTTAATAGAAATGGTTTCTAAGTAATCTTTAGATGGGCTGCCTGACAAGATGAACAAACATTGTTTCTCTTGAGGCTCTGAATCTGAACTCTTCTTTGACACAGTATCTGGTTCTAGCCAGAGTGAACCAGAGGATTCTGGGATCGTTGGTTCCCAAGGCAAAGATGCTTCGATGCTAACAGAAAAAGGGGCCGAGGAAAAGGTTGAACGGCCAAGGCCAGATAGTGATAGTGAAAGGAATGTACTAATTGGCAAGCTGAGGGACGACCAGACACTCTTAATAATAATAACAACAACAACAACAACACTTTATTAGTACCCTGATACCATCTCCCCAAGGGACTCGGTGCGGCTTACATGAGGCCAAGCCCAAACACAACAATGCAGGCAATAATACAACAATACAAGCAATTAAAATAAAACATAAACGATAAACATATAACATTATCAATAAGACAACATACAATTAAAAATTGTGGGAAGGCCAAATGTAAAAATTAAAATTGGAAAAGTGCTGAGGCATGGACGAAAAGGCGATAGTGGCGTTTGTGGAAGACATACGAGCAGACCTAAAAGTATAAAGTGCTTTGGAGGGACAAAGTGCTATGGGATCATTATTCCGGGAAGGCACACTCGCACAACCACATCTTCAAGCTCCTCCTGAAGACCCCAGGGTTGAGGCCTGCCTGATGTCCTTAGGGAGTGAGTTCCAGAGTTGAGGGGCCACTACCGAAAAGGCCCTCTCTCTCATCCCCACCAATCGTGCCTGCGATGCTGGTGGGATCGAGAGCAGGGCCTCTCCAGATGAACGAAGAGATCGTGTGGGTTCGTATACAGAGATGCGGTCACACAGGTAGGCGGGTCCCAAACCGTTCAGGGCTTTGTAGGTAAGAACCTGCACCTTGAATTGGGTCTGGTAGATGAATGGCAGTCAGTGGAGCTCCTTGAACAGGAGGGATGACCTCTCCCTGTAAGGAGCACAAGTTAACAACCTGGCTGCCGCTCATCTAAAATTTCTGGGCCGTTTTCAAGGGCAGCCCCACGTAGAGTGCATTGCAGTAGTCCAGTCTTTGATAGGAGAAGTCAAATCAATCATCATCATACCTGGAAGGGGGCAGAAGACGGTCTGAAAGATTAAGAGAATCAGGGGGTCAGGGAGAGGTTTCCCAAGGGAAAGGGAATGCTTTTGCCATGGCTTTCTGAATAAATATAGGGCCTGTGAGTCTATACTCTTCAGTAAGTCCAACATTTGGTTTTCATGCCTGCTTCATGCTTGCTTGTTCATGCGGGGAATCATGTATAATCTTGCTTTGTATTCATGCACATGCTGAGATTTTTGTAAGCTGGTGTTTGTGATTTCAAGCTACTGCATTTAGATTATTTGATTCAAGTTGGCTCCTGTTTCTTCAAGGGACTTTTGCATTTGCCACCTTTGGAAAAGAAAGACTTTCTTCCTATGGATTTGCTTCTTGGATTTTGGGACTGATTTGTCTCCTAACTTGGATTTGGGTTATTTGCTGATTTTGTGGACATCACCTTTTCTCTATTTGAATGCTTTTTACCTTTTTGACTATTGCTATAT